CAGGTGACCTGACACCCATCTTGACGGGCTTGCGGGAAACGCAGGAACTGACCCAGGCAAGGCCGGTTTAAGGGCATTGCGGCATAATTAACAAACAATTCTGAACCGTCCTCACAGTCCTAACTCACTAACCCACAAAGCCCATGCACCCTTCAAGCAGTTAGATATGATGGGTATGGGTAGGACAAGGGTCCTTCTTTTGGGGATGAACATCAGCAACTACCAGGTACCAGGGTTTGGACTCATACAAAAAAGAATGGAACCCTACTCATGAAAAAAATCATATTTGTTGATCACATTTCATTTTGAACGGACATTCATAAGCTGGATCATGGAAGTACATTGCAGTACTTATCAACCAACAAGATGGATTTTACACTTGGAAATGACCATGTTGATGATCAGCGATTCAAGCGCACAGTGTGGCATGTCAAGCAAGTTTCAAAGCTTTCGGGGTGTCCAGGAAAGCAAACCATGAATCATCCGAATTGACCCATCCATGTCTTGGAATGATTATGAATGATTACATAATTACCCTATAACTATTATTACCATATAACTACTTTACTATATAACCATATTATGTATATATAATTATATATATATATATTACCCCTTCATAACCGTAGGTTGGTTGGGTAGGGGCTTTATGAGGTGTGAAAGTGTTGATACCTTTTGGGCCTTGATGCCAATTTTGGCTCAAGGACCCACTTTTGGTTTTTCGCCTGCGTGGGTCCATGGCACTTCGGCCTATTGATTGGACTTCCTGGAAGGGTGCGGCGAAGCTGTGGCTCACCACCCATCCAGGGTTCAATCATAGGGAGGTCACGCGCGAGCAGCGGCTGGAGAGCTTCGAGCTGCGCGCGGCCTTTGCGGTGGCGACTGCGGCTGCCCATCGCGAGGACAGAGGCCTGGGAGCCCTGCCTTGCGATAGGTGCGGCGTGTGGACGCACTGCTGGTGCGAAGCTTGCCAGCGGCCTGCGACGGCTATCTGCACTGTGTGCGATGCCGCGGAGGCGATCTGCCACGCCTGTGAGCGTGCCGGCAAGTCCTGGCGAAGCGCCCGAGCGGCGTACGAAGCGGCGACGCCGCAGGAAGAGGAGATCGTCGAGATCTCCGGGTTCCATGATGCAGCGGGAGTCTTCCAGACCATTGACCCCCCGCTCCGGATCCCCCTCAGGGAGGTCCTCTCGGCCGATGGCGAGCCGGACGCGGCCGCCATCACCCGCCGTGCCGCCGCGCACGGCCAAAGAGGTGACGGCCGGTATGGCGCCCGAGGTGGTGGACATCCTGCTGGATCTCCCCCTCCCCCTCCTTGCACGCCTGGGCGCTGAAGGAGTGGAGACGGCGGCAGATGTAGTAGGGTTGTACCCCAATGTGGACCTGTTCATGGATGCCCTGCATGCCGTGATGGGGACACGTGTGGATGCCGACCTTAGCATGGATGTGGCGTGCACTTATGCTCGGGTTCATGGGCTGGCCCGTAAGACAAAGAAGCACGCAGTTGAGCTCGTAGTAGCCGAGCGGCAGTCTGTGTACCCCTCGGGTGCTGCTGAGCGCGGTGGAAGCCGTGAAGCGGCCGCTAGCAGCCGCGGAATGAAGCCCCTGGTGGGCCTTGGGACAGGCTCGGCTGGATCCACTGTGGTGTCTGGGCCTGGTCCTGCACCGGCCAGCACCAAAGCAGACGTAGCCAAGCAGACTAAGTTGGACCTCCTTTTCCACCTGCTGGTTGACTACGTTTTAGACTTGCAGGAGCTGGGCATCGATACTGCCCTCCTGGCTGACCCGCTGGGTCGCACAAAGGTCCGTGAGACTGTGCTCCACGGGGCCCAGAGATTGTCGACCCAGAGGCTTGGTGCTTTGATCAGCAGCTTCAAGAGGTGGATGAAGTTTTGTGAGGAGAGGCAGTGGGCGCCTAACGCACCGAAGCCGTTCCAGTTGGCCACTTACCTGCACTGTGTCAGTCAGGGGGGGCCCACAGCGGCATCGTCGATGCATGCAGCCTTGAAGTGGTTCGCAGACCAGGCTGGTGCGGCACTGGATCTGTCGCACCCCATGGTGGCCCCTTACCGCTTCCACGCTGTGACCCACACAGCGAGGCAGGCCCCGGAGCTTCAGCCCTGGGAGCTGATCAACTTGGTTTGCCTCTTCGGCCGTGCCAAGGGCAACCATAAGCTCCTGTTGGCCTGGGTGGTGATGGCGGCGATCTCTTGCGTTCGCTGGGAACACCTGCAGCGCTCGAGTTTCGTGGCTGGCCACACCAAGTGGATTGAATTCCACTGCCAGCAAGGCAAAGCTCGGAAGAAGGGAGCCAGGCCAGCGTATGGATGGGCTCTACCAGAATGGTGCTGGGAAGGCCATGGTGTTGGCCGCATCCTCGAGGATTTTTACCGGCATGAAGTGCTGGCCACGGCGGGTTTCCTGGTACCAGCATTGCAGCTGGCTGCGGACAACCTCTGGGAAGTCACAGAGACTACCCCGCTGGTCCTTGGAAAGCCGGGGACGCTTCCTGGAAATCTTCCGGGGTGCCCTCATGCAGTGTGGTTTGGATACCCACTCAGCGAAGGGGGCGACCTTTAACCGGCTGAGGCGTTTCCTGCCTACGCTGGGTAATGTGCTGGAGATTTCCGATGTGGATGCGCAAGCGGTGGGAAACTGGACTGAGGTCCCACAGGGAGGTGGCCTCACTGCACCGAGACCCAAGGCTGCCATGACGATGGGCCGCCACTACGGGGGCCATAAGGTGCTGCGCTCGGCGGTGGTCAAGGTGCGCCTCCTGGAGCGCTTCCTGGAGCTGTGGAAGTTGCAACGGCAGCATGTGTCCCTCACTGCCGAGGGCCTGCTGCCTGTTGACTCCTGGCGTTGGCCTGACTTGCAGGCGTTGCACCGGCAGACTCCTTGGTCAGCAGCCGATCCAGACCTGTCCGCTGCTATCACGGATGCGGCGGCCCCGGCGCCTGAGCAACCAGGTGAGGAGCAGCCGGACGACCAGGCCGCTACCCTTGAGGAGCCGGCAGGGGAGCCAGAGGCGGCATCAGGTGCCTCAGGCGATGACAGCAGCTCGGCCTCTGACATCTCCGCCGATGCGGATGACCTGGTGGGCATTTTGCCGGACCCTACAGCAGCAGCTGAAATCAAGTGGTTTCGCCAGGGCACCAAGACGCACCTGGTGAGCGACACATCGGAGAGTGACCGGCTGATCCCGTATTGCCGAGACAAGCCGTTTGACCAGGATCCTGCCCGACGGGGCGAGGGCTTCGTGCGTGGGGGGCTTGAGTGCATCTGCAAGCGATGTCTCAGCCGTATGCCACGGGGGCTCTACCTGAGTCTGGCGGAGCACTGCGGCTGGTCCTCCTGAGTCCTGAGTAGCTGCGGGCCCGTACTCTAACTAATTTGTGTGTGCCAAAAAGGGCGCGAGCTGCCGGCAGTTTCACCCTGTTTTTCATGTCAGTGTGGTTTGTTTTGTCACGCCTAATAGGCCCTCAGGCTGTAATTGGTGGACAGGCAACCCCCTGTCGGTCTCCAGAAGGCGCAGCCGTCGGTTGTGCCTGTGCAAACTCTATGCTTTGGAGTTTTGGACCCAAGCTAGTAGTGTGCCAGCCCACCAGCGCGCGCCATGAGCCGAGTCGATGTGCTGGCGGATGACCGCGGCCTCCAGGGATGCTTCAAGGTGGCAAACATCCAGCAAGAATGGGCGCAGGACTTTATCACCAAGCACAAGTTGGTCACCCTGGACGACTATATCTACTCGGTTGCCCATGATACATGGGAAAAGGGTGTGGAAACCTTGGTGTCCCAGGTTCCCACCCTCCGGGACAACATGATCGCGCTAGCGCGGTTTCGTAGCGCTTTTGACATTGGCCGAGAAGCCTTGCGCCAGGCTGCAGCGCCAGCAACGAAGAGTGCCGATTTGGACGAGCCTCTGCCAGAGGCGACTATGAAGTCTCTCAACCAGGATTGGGCTCGCCGGTACAATTTGCAGCTGGATCCGTCGTTGGAGCCCTGTGAGGCCCTCCGGTCCAGGCTCTACCGAGAGTTTCGGAAAGGCCAGCTCACGGTCATTGAGGCTCGCAAAGTCAAGAGCGTCATCACAGTGGCCCAGCCCAAGACACAAGGGTCGGTTACTCTGGGAGACAACCTCCACTTGGAATTTGAGAAGGAGGAGGGTATCCCGATCAAGAGCTGTGTGGAATATTACCTGCAGATGCGGGTGCTTGCTCATGCTTTGGCATGGGCGGGCAACTACCAGGTGGATTATGAAGGTGGGCGCCACTGGATGATGGACCTTTCCACCGTGCTGGGCTATGTGGATGTCGCCTTGCGTAATTCTATCGAATTCGCAGGTGGGTCCATGTTGTGGCTGCAACGAAACGACGTGCTGACACGGGGCAAGCTGGCGACCTATGTCAACAGAGGCATGCCAGGTTCTGTGGCCATGAAACAGCCCTTGCACGAGACGCACTTGGAGTGGCGGTCTCCCTTGGCTGCCCCGCTGGTGGTGTCCTCTGGGTCTGGGTCCCCAGGGACCACCAAGCGGAAGCAAGAAAGCAGCCCTCTGCCTGTGGGTGAGGCACCGACCAAGCGGCCGCGCACCTTGAAGGCAGATCGGTGGGCCACAGTGAGCATGATCAAGGGCGGTAAGCGATTGTGCAAGCCGTACAACGACGGCAGGGGGTGCAGCAACTCGCAGTGTGATCAGATGCATGCCTGCGATGTGAAACTGCCCAACGGAAAGCCTTGCTTGAGTCGGGCCCACACCAGGGTCCAGCATGAGGAATGACTCCTTTCCCCCGGGAGGTGTGCTACCCCCGGGGACCCATGTCTGGAGATAGCTGCTGCGCTGCCTGCCACGCCTGTTGGACGGGTGGTCTCACTCAGGGACCCCCTGGTGGACCCCCTCCAGCGACCAGTTGACAGAGCGAGTGCTGACCGCCTCCGGGCGGCAAAGCCAGTGGCATGGCGAGGTTTGGGGGATCTGCCCCAGTTCACGTGGGCCAAGCCGCTTGTGGGGTCATGGTTGGTGATCGACCTTTGGGCTGGCTTCAGTGGGCTGTGTGTGGCCCTCCTTGCGATGGGGGTGCGTTTTCACGCAGTGGCTGCGGAAAACGACATTTTCCCTGCCCAGGTGGCGGAACAGATCATGCCGCAGGTGGTTGCTGTTGACGCGGTGGAAACTGTGACAGGGACCATGTTCCGTCCTTTTCTGCAACGTCGGCAAGTCAGAGGCATTATTTTAGGCAAAGGTTTCCCCTGCCAGGGCAACTCTATTTTGAACACTGGCCGAAAAGGGTTGGCTGATACCCGAAGTCAACAACCTCAAGAGTTGGTACGTATCCGCCAGGAGCTGCAAGACCTCCCAGAATGTGCGACCCTGGAGATTGTCACGTTTTTGGAAAACGTGGCCTCTATGCCCCGCGAAGTCATGGACCAGTATACAGCATGGATGGGCTTCCCACCTATCCTCATCGATGCGGGCGCTTGCGGATGGGTGCAACGGCGCCGGCTGGGTCGCTGCGGGGTGTCTCCTCGTTGCACCCCCCCCGACGGCTGGGTATGGGTCGAGTCTGGGACCGATCCCCCCGAGCTGCGCTGGAAGGGACCCAAGCCAATCCCGGCCAAGGTTCATTTTGATCAGAGTTTTGGCCCCCTTTTTGATGCTGCGGAAGTAGTTAAGGCTGCGGGACAAGGGGCTATGCATCCGTTCACCAGGGAGTTTTGGCACCCCTGTGATCGGGTCAAGCTGGTTCCGCCAGAGGCGGCTGCTAGATTCTATCAAGATGAGAGGCGGTTTCCCCCCTCGGCCTACACAGCAGAGAGTTTGCTTTGGCGCAAGGATGAGTGGCGTCAGCCGGGGCCTGAGGAGCGTGCCCAGATGATGGGGTTTCCTGCGCAGTGCCTTCAGGCCGTTCAGGGACCAGCGGCGGTGCGTCGCCAACGCCAAAACAGTATGCTTGGCAACGGCTTCCACCTGCCGATGATTGTGGCACTTTTCTGCCTGCTGCCAGGTGTGTTGAGTATGAAGGTACCGCGACCGTTGTTTGACCTCGCGGAGCGCAAATTGCAGGAGCGTTTGGCGGGTACGGTATGGGAACCAGGCCGCTTGCAGGTGTTCCCTGGTTTGCTTTCCAGTGACCAGGTGGTGCAATCCATGCAGCGGACAGTCTTCGGATCCTTGCCAATCTCTGCAAATGTGTGGCAGTTGACAGCCACCCGGTTGGCTCCCTTGCCAGTGTGGCAACTGCAAGCCTATACTGCGTGGGCAGTCGGCCGAGGCGCATCATGTGATCAATTAGGGCCCACCCCGCTGACAACGAGCCATCGGACAGCTCTGTTTGCAGGACTCACCGGGCAGCGCTACCCGGGCAATTCCCGGAAGGGCCTGGACCATTTGCTGCCGCCAGGCGTAGGCAAGGAGGAGCATATCAAACAGGCTGTGGGCCTGCCATCGCCCTTTCGCCTTCGCGAGTGGCCTGAGCAAGATGTGGATTTCGTTCTCCACGCCATTGCAACATGGCAGCAGGCACTGATCGGGTACTCTGAGCAATGCCGCCAGGTATTTCGACAGGTCTGCACAGCGCTGCTGCCATTGGATGATGAGTTGCGCAAATTCAGGGTGCACAGTGCAGTGAAAGTGGCCGCTGGGAAAAGGCCTGCCGTTTTGGCGTTTTTGACTGTGATCCTGCGATGGCCCGACTTGCAGCAACCTTTGCAGATGTTGCAGGGCTATCCTATTGTCGGGGCACTGGAGCCTAGTGGAGTCTTCCGATCCATTACTGCTCGTGAAGCTTTGCCAAAAGAGGAGTGGTTGGGGGATGCAGCTGTGGCAGCTGTGGAGAGGATTGAGAGCTCTCGCCCTCCGCGGTTTGCCGAGCGCATCTATGCTGCCACAGTTCTTGAGCAACAAAAGCAATTTTGTTCGCCTTTCCTTACCAAGCGCTGCATGGATGAGCGTTTTGGCGTAGGACAGTGGCGACCGCTGCAACGTTTCTTGATTGTGCAGCCGGATGGGAAGGAAAGAGTCATTGACAATGCACGCAAGACTCTCCACAATAGTTCAACGGCGATGATGGAAACGATTTACACAGTGCACTTGGACTTCATCCCGGCCGTTATCAAGCAACTGGCGCACCGGCTTCAGGTGACTAGCCCAGGGGATTGGAGTGTCTTCCACCCCTGGGCGCATTTTCGCCTGGGAACGGATGATCTGCCGGATGCATATCGTGGTCTGCCCGTGTGCCCAGAACATTTGCCATACTCTGCTGTGGCAGTCTGGGTACCCCAGCAGGGATGGCGTTACACTATTTTGTGGGGACTGGCCTTTGGACTCGAAAGTGCTGTAGTCTCTTTCAACCGGCTGCCTCAGCTGGGAATTGCCGCTACCAGAAGATGCCTCTATGGTCTTGCAGCAGCTTATTTTGATGACGAGCTGGCCGTTGAAGTGGTGGCAGCAGCCGATATTTCACAACAAGCCTTGCGGCTCTTGTTTACTAGTATTGGCGCTCCGCCCCAGAAAGCCAAGGGATTTGCGCCTTCACCAGATCGCCACTACCTGGGAGCCGCGATTCACTTGGGCTCTGTGATGACAACGGGTTGTGTCCGTATCCAGCCAAAATTCGCGACGGTGGCCAAAGTTGCTGGTCGTCTCCGAGTGGCCATTGCCAACCGTTGTCTTACCAAAGAGGAAGCTGGCAAGCTCCGGGGCGACATCACTTGGATGTTTTCTTTGGCGGCGGGTCACATGGGCCGTATCGCCCAGCCTGTCCTGGCCAAGTGCAGCAGTGATGGCCCGACGCCAATGGATGATGAAGATGTTGTTACCTTGCAGGTGCTGCTGCGCATTGTCCTGGACTGTCAGCCTCGCGACGTCCAGGTGTGCGGTATGGATAAGGTGCCTTTGGTTATCTACTCCGATGCCTCTCTTGAGCAAGGAGTCCTACGCCTGGGGTGGGTAGTGATGTGTCCGGGTACCTCCTACCAACCTCAAGGGGGGACCTGTGAGGTGCCACCAGAGGTCATAGATAGCTGGGTGCCTCGTCGCCAGCAGATTTACCCAGGCGAGGCCATTGTGGCCCTGGTCATTCCGGCTCTCTTGCCTGACCTACTACGAGGCCAGGATCTCCTGTGGTTCGTCGACAATGAGAGCGCGACCAGCACTTTGATCCGCTGTGTCTCATCTCAGTGTGATGTCCACGAGATAGCACAGTTCTCGCACTATCTGCTGAACAGTTTGGACGCCCGGGCGTGGTTTGAATGGATTGACTCCGAGTCTAATCCTAGTGATGGGCTGAGCAGATTAGGATTAGCAGATGAGTGGACACAGGCCCAGGGCTGGTCCCTCACCTCTTACACTTTTCCTCCTGGCCTCAGCCGCGGAGAATTTCTTCAGTCCCTTCCGGTTAGCGTGGTTTAGTGAACAGTGGGTGATTTGAACAGTGGGTATGTGTTTGGACTCATGGTAGTCTAACCATACATGTGTTTAGACTGTTGAGTCTAACCATATTCCAGATGTGTGTGGTATAACCCCCCATCTGTGTTTTGACCCATTGTTATTTGATAACAATGAGGGGTTCACTACCATGCCGCTACTGGAGGGCTGGTATCTTCTCACGTGCAGCGTACCAGTTGAAGGAAAGTGAAAAGAGTGCTGCAGAAGGGTTCACACTTTCTTACCCCTTCATAACCGTAGGTTGGTTGGGTAGGGGCTTTATGAGGTGTGAAAGTGTTGATACCTTTTGGGCCTTGATGCCAATTTTGGCTCAAGGACCCACTTTTGGTTTTTCCCCACCCTCCCTCCCGGATCTCCTCTGCGGAGTGAAGGGAGAGGGTCTTCGACGGGACTTGACCCTCTAACATTGGTACCTTACCATGTAGGGGTATGTGTTTGGACTCATGGTAGTCTAACCATACATGTGTTTAGACTGTTGAGTCTAACCATGTTCCAGATGTGTGTGGTATAACCCCCCATCTGTGTTTTGACCCATTGTTATTTGATAACAATGAGGGGTTCACTACCATGCCGCTACTGGAGGGCTGGTATCTTCTCACGTGCAGCGCACCAGTTGAAGGAAAGTGAAAAGAGTGCTGCAGAAGGGTTCGCACTTTCTATATATATACACATGTATATAAATTGGATTCCAATTATGTTTCTTTCATGTTCTTTCCATCGCTTCAATGTTGGTGCAGGGGGTCAGCAATGCTCTTCGGGCCTGGCGTGCTGCTTCAAGTGGCGGTCAGGTGGAGACTGGCGCAAGCACCGAAATTGGGCCTCAGATGCTTGGAACGCCCTTGGAACCAGCAGTGAATGATTTTCCTTGAGCTCAACATATTTTACCACGAGAAACTAGACTGGGGTCATCTGGGTCACTTGATTTTTCTGATGTGTATGTTTTGTGGAGGAAAGACCCATTGAAACGGGTCCATAGGTCTTCCCGGTGGCCCAAAGCACTTAGTGGTGTTTTTCAGCACCTAAGGAGCTGGGAGTGGCAGGAATTCTTATCCAAAATTCTGAGTGATCACTTCAACCATCAGCTGCAGCAGCTGCAAGAGATCTTGGGTGACCGGCAGCTGGTGGATCTGTCGCAGGTCACCGGAGCCCTTCACAGCTGGGTCACTGAGCACGGGGATTTCCAACTGGCATTGCGAGAGATGGAGCAGCTGCGGAGAGGAGAGCTGCAACAGAATCCCTCGAGTCCCTATGCCATCAGCATCCGAAACGACCTTGAGGGAAGCCCCTCAAATGTTCCAGATCGGAGCGTCTCAGCTGCTGCGGAGCGAGAAAGCAGAGAAATCCTGGCAGCCATCCGTGAGCTTCAGCGAAATTTGGACTTATCGCATGAGTTCTCAGCAGTGATTGCAGCGGTTCAGGAGAAGGATGTGAAACACACACCTGTTCTGGTGGCACTGCAAGAACAGAAAACGGACATCAACGCGCAGTTCGACGACTTAAGAGAGATGCTTCGACAGGCCCGGATTTGGATTCTATTTGGAGGATTTAGAGGAAGGTCAAATTGTGATAATCCGAGTATGAGTATGGTTTCTCCACGGTAGTCCCATACTTTTCCAAGGATTCTGCAGGGGGTTCAAGTTGAACAATCTCCAACACCTGCCATTCACCACGAGGATCATCATCGCATCACCACATCCACATTCAAGCTTTCCGAGTCCTGGACCCCAAGCTACACCCACATTAACCATTGTGGGCAATGTCCTGCCTTTCCTTGGCTATCTCCATATTTTCTGGCTAGACACTTTTAAGTCCTCTCTTGGGTTAAACATCACCTGAAATCACTTTAAACATCTTTAAACCATCTATATAATATCATCTGAAACCATGAGTCATCTTAAAGTCTTCAATCTCTCATGTGTCACCCACCACTTGCATGCATTCGTTACGTACATGTTTGAGAAACGACGATGGCTGCGCAGGGCCCGGACCGGCCACGCTCATCGGCCAGCAGGAAGCCACAAGCGAAGGCATGGGAGACTGTAGTACAAAATAGCATATTTTGTACATTTTTGTACTATTTCTATTCAATACATATTCATAATATGTAAAGAAAACTAAAGCGGGACTCTGGTCGTGTTTTGCCCAAGAACGGCCCAAGGGCCATTTTGGGATAATTAAAGGAATACAGAACAACAGACCATTCTTCCAACAGCGTGGTTGCATGATTTCGCGGTGGATTGTGTGACTTATGTTTGGAAGACAAGGACGATGTGAATCATGCTTCCACCAAACTTGGACACTTCGTTTATCAAGGGAAACAGAATATATTTATATATAGCACTTTGGAATGGACAAGATGTAGGCAGACCAAAGCACGCATGACGACCACCTATCTGCCTCAGGCGGAAAGGACGGAGAGCACTGCGGACAGTCAGGAAGCCTTTAAACTGACCAAGATTTTGGACGCCATCAAGGACCAGAAGGCCCCCAAAATTGACCCAATGATACCATGATGCTATGCAGCAGGGCCCATTGTAAACTCAGCGGAAACATATGGACCTAACTCAATTTAGATGCCCTGCCACCTGCTGGACTAGTACTTTGACCAGGTTTCTATCGACTTCTCCGTGGCGCAAGTCCTGAACAACATCCAGCAGAAGCAGCAAGAGACCATCGCTCCTTGTCCACGACGTCAGTAGCTACTGCCGAAGTGAAGATGTGGGGGGAACATAGTGCATCTGTCCTAAACCTGCATATTGGCAGTGTCCTTCAGGATAAACTGATCTTGACCGACCAGCAACTGGATTTCTTGAAGCAGGGGCTTTCCAAGTTGGGGCAGGAGCCGCTGGTGGATCCACAACCCTTTTTTTTCTCATGCAGTCGTGCCACTCGTGGCCATCAACCAAACACCCATCAACTGCTGGCCTTGTCCAGGACACCCTGCGGATCCGCACAGCAGCTCCCGCACCCTCGCCCGCCTCCCCACGCATGGGGCAATGGCAGCTGCCGGGCTCGCCATGGAGCCTCAGCAGACACTGTGGGGATGCTGTGGGGATCCAAGTTGGTACCTCCAAAAGGAACCTAAAGGCGATGGGAAGAATATGGCAGAATCGGATGTTTCGATCAAATAACATCAAATAACAATTTATTTCTCTAATCAATATTAGATACATCATATATGTGGTGATTGAATGATTCATGAGATATGTTCATTTAAAAAGAAACCAATTGTTTTCACCTCTTGAACCGTACTCCTGTAGTGAAACTTCACCCGCTGATTCTTACTTCCGGAACATGTTGCCGGAGAGCCGCATTTACAGATCGGGACAGCCACTTATTTTCGGGCTATTCGATTGACAATCCCATGGAACTTGGCCATCGGCCTGAGACCCAACACCCATCTACATCCATCTACCATGACAGCGTCATCAATTCATGGATGATAAACAAACACTTTGCAATCCGCACGGCCATGCACCAGCTTTTTCTTGCTTCGGGTGCGTTCAGTTGCAAGGGCTATGGGCCTTCAACTGAAAGCTGTTGATGGTTTTAGTGTTGATGTTTTATGATCTTCTTGGTACCTTTTACAGGATCATTCTCAGGTAGGCTATAGTTCTTCAGCCAGCTCAGCCCACATGCAAAGATTATCAAAGATTGGCATTGAACCGTGAAACTTGAGACCTTAAGTTGAGCAATGGATTGAGACAGAGATGGAGAGAGATGCTTCAGCGAGGGTCTCCAGAAACATAGATTCCCAATTCCCAAATCCTCCCAGTTTGCGCACGGTAAGGATCCCACCTGGCATCCTTGGACTGGACAAGTGACAGGGAATTGACACTCACTCCGTGCATCTCCGTGCCATGGCTCGAGCTTGACGGATTAATATGGTAACATGATGTACCATTAATTATGGTAACATGGATTAATATGGTACCATGGATTAATTACATCCAGAATTGCACTCGAAGAATCAGAGGAGTTCGTTTGCCGACAAGCACCTGACATACCTATATGATCCCATATTGGGAGTACTAATGCACTACCGGAATGCGAGAGCTCGTGCCGTTTGGTCACTTTTGCTCAAGGCAAGTTTTCGGTGGCCCTTGAATTCTTGGACTTGCCGAATGGCAGGATCTAGGCACCGTTCGGCTCACAAGCCGAACCTTTTTAGCTCATGAATGCCAGACCATGGTCGCTCCTGTCCAACATGGACCTGCCCTCCTGAGCACTTTTGTCCCAACAGATTCCATCACGATTATAATCGATTATGCTGTCCAAATGCTTTGTGCCTTGAAGTGTTTGGATATGAGACTATGTGAGGGACCCGGACAGCGTGTGCAGGTGGGTCAGCGGAGGCTAATGAGATATGGCTTGATGCATCGCGCACGTGCCAAAAGTATCCAAAAGATTTCAAACGTTGTTTTGCCACACACTGTTGTGCGATCTCGAAAGGGTCTACCTGATTCGGGTGGACTTTGGTTGGGTACGACGTGTATTCCTTTGATTTTTTCTGGCAGGTTTGGCTTGTTTTTGTGTATTTTCCATGTCAAGGTCTGCACTACGTCGCAACTATGTTTGACCACAGTCACTCTTGAGATGATCACGATTACCATGACATACGGAATGATTTCCTGCCTTTGCTCAATCCTTTGCCTATCCTAGAGAACTGCGAACTTGGTTTCGAACCAGAAAAAGGTCATTGCTGTAGTGATTTGTTTTCCCAAATTGTTTCCCAGAAGTGTTTCTTCCGCAAAGATAATATATAATATATATATAAGATGTGTGAAAATGTGCGACATCTTTGACACGGTGCTTGGAGCTTCCCCGTTCCAAGGCGTTGATGTGGTCCTGCCCTTCGTGCTGGGAGTTCGGGCCTCAGGAGGTCACAGACTGTGCTGTGTGAATTTCAGTCACTGAAGGCCTTGAAACAGAAAGAGAAGACCGAGATCAAGGCCCTGGCGATGGCAGCATGAAATAGCTGTAAATAGCTGCTGTTTGGCGACACAATCACCTTTTTTGTTAGGCTTCAAACACAGACTTTGAGTGCAAAAGTGAGAAGCTCATGCTGTACTTACAATATACTGTAATGTAATTTCTTTAATCTTTGCAGTTCTTTGGCAAGAGGTGGGAGCGCTTCGACTTTTGGCCCTCATGCGAGATGAGGACAAGGGCACTGACTTGGCTTGCATGGTTTGGTAAAACCATGTAAAACCTAAGCAGGTATGCCAAGTCAACTTATTGTCAGTCAAGGAGGATGCCAAAGCAAAATCCAGGTGTTGCGACCTTAACATCTGTAGCCTTAGGGGTAGGTTGGACAGGCTTTCCTGTGTAATCTCTTGTATTTCTATGCGCCGCTAATACTCACGGCAGCTCCTGGGAAGAATTACGATCCCGTATTTTTTTTGCCCTGATTCTCCAGGACACCTTCCGACCATTGGCCCGGCAGTTGGTGGCTGCCTCATTCGGTTAATTCGGTTATTGGCACACTCGTGCCTCGAGCTTCAGGATATCCTGGTCATTCCTGGTGCGCTGAGTGGACCACTGAGGACAGAATCATGCCACACATTGCTGAGATGTTGAACGACGTCTAGGTCTCAGATGGCCTTGGCTTGGAGGCTGCTAAAAATGGAGAGATATGCTGTACTGCGCGCCGCTTTTTGTACCCGATATCACAGGCATAATTGTGATGGTGGTGGTGGTGATGATGATGATGAGGAGGAGGAGGACGACGACGACGACGATGATGATGATAACGAGGATCATTATTCTTATCATTGTCATTCATCAGTCGCCATCTATGGTTTCCATTTTCAGTTTATCTATCATTTGTCATATTTACCATGCTTGTTCCTGTATCTTGTTATATTATATGTATTTATGATTTAATTGAAAAACATATGTAGTATCTATTGTATGTATACTGCATACATATTATAATGTTTATTCGATTATTGTTGTCAATCATTATTAGTTGTGGTTACCATTGGAATCCATCAGTAATCCTCATGGTCCTCCCTGCCTCAGGTGAAACGAGAAGTCCGCGAAACGGCCCTTGGCTCGGCATTGATCAGACACCTGCGACTACCGGGTGCATCATGGTACCGGTTGAGCCGACAGAGGCTGCAGATACTGCCAGAGTTCTGTTTGAATGCGCGCAGAACAAGGACAGGTTTGGTGAGTCTCAGGTTGCCTTTGTGCCAATGCAATCCAATGCATGGATGTCTGGATGGCAAACATGCGGTGTTCGTAGCTTGCTGGCACCGGTACTATCTGTCAATATGGAAAAGATGACGCCACATCCACTGCACAACAGGTCCTTACTTTGAAGGAAAGATAATGCATGATGTGAAGACTTCGTGCTTTTCTTTTCGCACAGACTTGCTTAGCAAAGCCGGCCAATCTTAAGGTTCCATTTTTTGGTGCGGTTACTTAATTTCTTGACCCAGGACCTTGATCCCTACCTGGTTGATCTCATCAGCGTTGGGCCTCAAATGCCTCAGAAGGTATTTATTTGGAGAGAGCTGTCAACGAAATTGACGAAGCTCCAGTTGTTTGCCGCATGGGTCAGAGGCCATGATGGACCAGGAAGTCATCCCCAAAGTGGTCCAAAGCTCAGTGGCACATGGCCGCGCAGCCTTGCCACCATCCAGGGGAACTGTGAAGTCCCAGTCCTGGAAAGCCTGAAAGCCTGCACCATTGAAGGGAAATAATTCCTAGGCCCCCAGGCACTTGTCACAAGTTGGAATGAAAGCTGCCACCAATTTTATGAAGGTGGTTTGATGGTGCTTCCAGCTTGATTTGGATTTTAGATAATTCTAAAGTGGTGAACAATTTGTGAACCCAAAGGCTCGACCCAACACGTACTGTACCTGTACTGTGTCACCCAATGTTGGGAAACGCGGCTGCCATGCAGGTGAACCAGCTCTCAGAGATCGTTTTCGTCCAGTCGGTTGGCTGCTGAGATGGTTCAAGGGATGATAATTCTGGTGGTGTGCACTGCGCATGGATGAGACTTGGGAATGACAAGCAACACTCTTGAGTGTTTTCAGTGTGAATCGTGTGGCTGAGACTTAGGGGAAACGTGCAAGGAGGCAAGAAAAAGACGAAACTAATTACAGCAAACTTCCTTGACGTTGTTACACAATCTCACAGGAGACATCATAGAATCACAATCAATCACATTGCCATCAATTACACGTGCTCCTCTTGCTTGGACAAAGGTTGAGACACCAGCCCTGGCTGTGGTCATGCCACTGATCCTCCGTGGACTGAAAGACAGAGACGAGAGGAGCTGCCATCGATCCACCCAAAATGTCGGGTTCTAATTTGGTGGGGACACAGACTTCTGAAAACAACTCGGGATGTGCTGACAAAATCAGCAATCCCCTTGCTGCACCTCTTTATTCACTGTTACTATTTTTTCTTGATTCAGAAAACCCATCAGAAAATATCATGTGAAGGTGTTTTTTTTGCTTGGATGAATCAATGAGAACAGAGGGCCCCCGGTCGCCTGCAGTATTTGCTGCTGCTCTGACTGCCGGTTTCGATAGGACGAAGCGACGGGCATTGGTGATCGCCGACAACATGTGCAAACTGGTCCCAGACGTCACAGAGATTCAGCCCTTTTTGCCCACGTGGTGTCCCAAGAGCGAAGCTGCCTAGTGCGGACAAGAGCATGGAATACCTGCTATTCACATCCACTCCACTGGAATTTATAGAAGAATGGCAGTGCCATATTTTGTTCAAGAGTTTCGCGCTGCATTGATTTGGATGACCCACCAAGGCTCATCCCTTTGGTGGAAAAATCGATCCAAACCATTTCCGATCCGGAGGTCACTGGAATTGATCCAATTCTCCCATTTCCATGCAACTCTAAAAACTCTACAGTGCTTGTGGAGGAAGGTGGGGAAAGATTAGGAAAGTTGCTGTGAAGTGTATGGGGTATGAACCTTGTGTGGACATCGGGTGGACCTCGACCTCCTTCCATCTTGAACAAAATCACACCAACTTGCAGATTAAAGTCTAAACTTAGAATTGCATCTCATACATTAATTTGACGCTGCGACAGGTCAGAAGTGTTGCAAGTCGCTGCTTTGCCACCCTACAAGCAGCGGACAAGGCCTGAACCTTGGGACCAGCAAGAGATCGTGGTGCACTGCAATGTCAGTTGGTGATTCAAGATCAACTCGGAGTCAACAGAGAAGATGTATGATGATTGATGTATATAGTGAATTACAAAAACAAAGCAGTGAAAATCCCCAGATCGCACTGTGCACTTCTCAGGCAGATCGAAGGAGATTCATCAGCAAAGCTTCAGCCAGGAACCTGTTGCTGCAGCATGCTGCAACAGTTTGGCAAACTTTGGCAACAACTGGTATCTTTGAATCACCTTGAACCACGGCGCTCGCTTCGTTGATAGTGGTGGCTCCAGATAGCCTGGCTCGGCGCTAAGGTTGTGGATTTGCTACAGGAGAAGATCCCAGCAGCAAAACTACAACTGGCCTGGAGCTGATAGATCTGGGAGTTGCCACGCCAATGGCGATCCAGGTCCGGCAATGCATGGCATCGGCATCTAAGGTGAGTGAAGTAGTCATCGACTACGTTGCATCGCTCTGTGCCTGTATGAGCGTCAAGGTCTTAAGTGATTGCATGCGATTGCAGAGTTGGATGGCAGAAGCAATATGTGCAGTGAAGGGGAAGTCCTGAGTCAGCTCTTGTTTCATGTTTAGTCTCTCCCACTGTCAAGAAAGAAAACAGTCGTAGACTGTGAAGATCACTGAAGTCCTGTCTCAGAAATGCGTCTGTGAAAGTCGTTCCTGTGGTACATCAGATGTGTCAGTTCAGATAGTGTTGATGAGGCCTGCAGAAGTTTCGAATTGGCAGAATGGTGGCAGTGCATTGCGTCCAAAACTGAGAGCCTAATCCAAAGCTCCTCAACTACATGACTGACTAAATGCATTAAGTACATATTGAAGTATATTCCATTGAAAACTATTTGAGAGAGTCAGGATATCAGTCAACATGAAATTGGTATCCAATAAAGTGTCCGGTGTGCACATCAAGAATCTTCCCTGCCACTTAAGGCCCTATCTCTCGCCTTTGATCTTATCCGTTGAAGACTGTGATGACTTAGTGCTGGGGCCTCGGTGCAAGGTGATGAGATATTGAGTGATGAGATCAGACAAAACGTCCAGCACCATCCAACCATTGCGTATGCCGTGATTCCTGGCCGATGATTCCACCATTTCCATTTCTAATCCACTGATTGGAATCCGATGATCACCTGAGCCAAACTGTTTTTTCCTGGCTGATCGAGAATATCGAAAATCGCTCCCGTCTGCGTCCACCACGAGGCCAGAACTGCTTGAGAGCTGCTATGATGCGGCTGAAGGTGATGACGTTGAGGATTTGGAGGAAGAAGGTGGGCTGGGTTACCCCCCAAGGGTTTCATTTGTGGTTCCACACACTGGTGGAAAGAATGTGATCTGTAAAATATGCTAGCTGCTAGTGACTTGCTTTTCTGAATCATCTCAGAGGGTAGAGATGCATTGCTTTGAAATTTGAGTGGTGCATGGTGCCAAGCTGTTACAAATATGGTTTCTTGAAATCATCTCAGGTGAAGACCTTTGCAATTGCGTCTTCACGCTTGGCTACGGAGTCTCCACCTCAAGCACTGCCGTGGCACTGTGACACACTGTGTACAGTAGCTGGAATCCCAATGTTGATCAAACCAAGGCCCTGACGTTGCTCAATAACACCAGGCTCCGTAGTGGAAAGATGTGGACAGGTTCTTTGCAATGCCAGTTCTCTATAGTTCTTCAATGTTCTTCAGCCGCTTCAGCATTGCATGTGTTGGATGATCTTGGATGTACTGCAACGTCAGATGCATTTCCCAATTGCATCCCACAGCAGCTGATGTCAGGCTACACCTCAAACGTGGTAAATGCTATGGGCTTTGTGGTGGAACGCCTAGGAGGTTGCACAAATCTGGATGGAAGCAAGACTGAATCGTTTTGTGTTTTATTCGCCTGTGACAATGGCGCAAAGAAGTACAGTAGAGGAGGACACACTAAAATCATTCAAGGAAGGGATGGAACTGATTTCCCAAAATGGTCCACATCAAATTGTCAAACGGAGGAAGACAGCAAAAAAATCCACCCTCAACGCCCTCAATGTTTGGACCGGGGTCCTGAGGTCCCAACGACTGCGGCAAGAGTACTCTTTTGAAAGCGATCAACAACGAACAGGCTGAAAGATGATGAAAGATTTCCATTAGATCCCATTGGGTCATCCGGTTGCTGCTTGTGCTGTCATGCCCTGCTCACCATGCTCACCTAAGCCCATGGATTTTTGTGTTCCAATCGTTGAAGCCATAATATATATATATGTATGTGTATATATATATATATGTATATATATATATATGTATATATATATGTATATATATATATACGTATATATATATATATTTATTGATTTATTGCTTTACCAATTAATTTACTTATTTCTGTATTTATTTATGTTTATTTTCTTATTTCATATTCTAATTATTCTTACTTCTGTTCTGGAGTTGCACGAAACATCCCAGCCGTGTTGATACAGGTGGAGGGGTTCCCTCCCAAGAGCGAGTTGGTTACGGCCTTCGTGGAGCACGGCGTGGGCGAGACAGAGCCGGAGTGCGAGTGGCCGCCTTGGTGGGGTTCTGGACACGTGTGGAAAGCACAGAATCATCAGAGGTTTTGCAAAGATATGAAGACTAAATAAAGATAAATATAAAGTATTATGAAGTATTATGAAGTATTATGAAGTATTATGAAGTATTATGAAGTATTATGAAGTATTATGAAGTTGAAGAGAGCATAAAATAGAATAAATGCATTGGTTTTGACCACAAACCAGGTCCAAATCAAAGGGTCTTGTGACCACTCAAAACCTGAGGTGGACTCCGTTGGAATACATTTTTGCAGATGAAACCATCAAAGCCATGGGAGTCACGATGCTTGGCAAAATTGGAAGGGGGACTGGTTTGGGATTTGCCAACCAGAAGCATTCTTGTGGACATTTTCCATCATTTTCCCCTTTTTTAGTCAAGATTGGTGTGTGGTCACTTCCCCAGCTTTGACGCAACTCAGGAAGAAGAAGGCCCATTGGCCCATTGGGCCGACCGTTGTGCAGTTTGCAGCTGGGAGTTCCATGCCAGTGACAAAGTGACCGGTCAGGTGGTGGCAGCCTTAAGGAGCGTTGGCTTTGACGATCAGAAGCTGAAGAGCGAGCACTCGCCTCAGTTGCAGCAGAGGGACCATTTCATGGTGGATTCTAATAGAGAAACTCATTCATTCAAAATGTTTTTCTGAGTTGGAACACGGCTACTTTATGCTATTTTTGGGCTGACGCCCCTCGTCGGCTCCGCCGGACCACTCGGCCCTCCATTTCATCGCAGTGAGGGCGTGAAAGTTACTGAATGAGGACCTGCTTCAGAAATAAGTATATTCCTTAGGTTTTTTGGAACATATTTGTTGGAATAGACGTTTTTTGGGGAGCAAGTGAGTTCCCGAAAGCTCCTGCGAAGGGTTTTTCCTAAAGAACTGCTGCCGATTTCAACTTGTTACTTCGTGTAAAGGCGCCTCTGTGCAAAGACTTCTCTGTGTAAAAGCTTTTGTGTGTAAAAGTAAGATTCTCTGTGTAAAGACTTCTTTGTGTGAAAGCTTCTTTGTGTGAAAGCCCGTCTGTGTAAAGATTTCTCTGTGTGTAAAAGCTTCCGTGTGTAAACACTCTCTGTGTAAAGGCTTCTCTGTGTAAAAGTTTCTGTGTGTAAACGCGTCTGTGTGTTAAAGCTCTCTGTGTAAAGACTCCTTTGTGTAACAGCTTTTGTGTGTAAAAGCTCCAAGACGTTTGTGTGAAAAAGCTCCGCAGAGGAAAGACTTCTCTGTGGAAAACCTTCTGTGTGTAAAAAGCTACTCTGTGTAAAGGCTTCTCTGTGTAAAAGCCCCTGCGTGTGTAAAAGCTTGCTGTGTGTAAACGCTTTGGTGTGTAAACGCTCCTCTGTGTAAAGGCTTCTCTGTGTAAAAGCTTCTGTGTGCAAACGCGTCTGTGTGTAAAAAGTCCTCTGTGTAAAGACTTCTTCGTGTAAAAACTTCTGTGAGTAAAAGCTCCTAGACGTTGGTCTGCAAAAGCACCTTAGAGTAAAGACTTCTCTGTGTAAAACCTTCTGTATGTAAAAAGCTCCTTTGTAAAGACTTCTCTGTGTAAAAGCCCCTGTGTGTGTGGGTAAAAGCTTCTGTGCGTCTCCTCCCTCCAGCTTTCTTTCGGGTCACGCTGTCGTCCAGTTTCAATCTGCAACGTTGTTTCTTGTGGAAGAGTGCAAAATAATGCAAAGAACATGTGAAAGCATCGCGTGTTTAAAAATTGAACATAAACAGCGCACAAAGTGCTGTAATTTACAGCATCTTGCGCTGTCAGATGGCAAGAACCCGCGTAAATACCACAGTTTTAGTCCCCGAAAGTGGCTAAAACACTGTTTTTTTACAGGGTTTCGTTCACGTCACGACCTTCGATTTTTTGAAAAACGCGGAAATACCAGCGTTTTTTGCGTTCATCAAGGCAAAACATCGGTTCAACAAGTGCAAAAAATGCTGTAATTTACAGGGGTTTGGCGCCGTCACGGGCAAAAAAACGTGTAAATACCAACGTTTCGGCGTCCGAAAGTGGCTAAAACACCGCTATTTACAGTGTTTCGTGCCTTCCACGTTTTCTTGAAATTGCAAAAACAGTGTAAATACCAGCATTTTTTGCGATCGACTTGCCAAAAATGCTGTAATTTACAGTGTTTTTTTGCTTGGCTTTCAAAAACACTGGTATTTGCGGTGTTTTGTGCATCTCCGGTTTAAAAAGTATTGGTATTTACAGCATTTTCTGCTTTTTTTCATTGCTCCCGCGAAAGACGTCAAAACGCAAAAATGCTGTAATTTACAGCATTTTGTCCATTTCGAAAAGCGAAAAATCGTCCGAAAAAGGTGTCAAAACGGCACTTTTTTTCGATTTTAGGTACCCTCAAAACGGGGGGGGGGGAATGCTCTTGGAGACGCTTATGAGCGACCCGGATTCCGGCCAAAAAGCTCTCCCCCACCCTCCTGAAGGATTTTTGGTGTTTTTCGGGGCCCGGCGTCGGAGGGTCGGCGGTTGGGGGCGCGCCTCACCTTAGAGCTCTAGTCGCTCTGGGACGCTCGTAGGGCAAGCCACTCGTGGGGAGCCGGCGGAGCCGAATTTTGATCTATTTTGAACATGCTCAGCGATTCAGACGTTTGGCTGACCCTCAGATTCGCAACATACAGTACATTAGGCGTGTGTCATAACTTTTCAATGCCCAACAGGCCCAACAGGCCCAACAGGCCCAACACTGTCAACTTGTTACTTCGAGGATCGGCCATCTCTCCGGAGGATGGAAAATGAAGTCGGATTCTCAGAAGCGGAGCATGCTGGAGATGCATTAGTCTGAAGAAATCCAAAGAATTCTGAAGACAATTAAGTAAGATTTTAAGATATAGTAAGATTATATTCAACATATCTAGACATTGCGACTCGATTGAGGCTGATTCCGTGCTCTCGTTCAATCTTTTTAAATTCACGTTACCCGCACTGCTTCATGCGGTGATCAATACATGATTGAATATTCGAGGCTCGGGCTGGTGCGAGCCATGCTCATGTGTGCAGACATCCTTCTGCTGGATGAACCAACAGGTGCCTCAAGATTTGTCAAGATGCTTATGACATCCGCTGTGGGGCTCTGGGGACTCGGTATGACTTGCCACATCCAAATTTGCTGTGCAGACTCCAGGACACCTGGATGTTGCAAATGTGAGCTGGTTGGGCGATTACTTGCTGCTTGGATAGCTGCGGTGGGCCTTTCTTTTTTCATGTCCTTTTCTCCTTGGCTCGTTGCTTCACAATTTAGGGTAGGCAAGCAATACTGTTGAAGATGTTGAATATGGATCAAGGTTGTTGTGGTACCCGTCCGAATCTTTGGCAAGCTGTCGTCCTGTTGAACAAATGATGTTTGCCAAAGCTCGATCCTAGACCAAATGAATGCCATCATTGGTTTGCCATTGGTTTGCGTCGTGGGGACCTTCCCTTTCTCCTAGACCATGGATAGACCATGGAATCGGTTGGAGATCCATCGTAAGAGTCGAGGAAATGGAGGATCAAGGAGGATCATGATAAGGACATGATCAAAATTCCTCAAAATTCCATGTTTACTGCATTTGATCCTCTTTGATCCTCTTTGATCACTAAGCATTTCTTCATATTTCTTCGATTCCCTTTGGCCATTTCCCAAGGCTCAGCCTGGGCAAGGATGCAACCAGACCAGTCACGACCATTGTGGTCTCCCATGACAGCACCTTCCTGGACAAAGTCTGTAGCCATGTCATCAATGTCAAGCAACGAAAGTCCGGACCTCAGGGCCTCAGGTGGGAGGAAATGGGTTTGTGCTGGTTTGTGTCAAAATGGGGGGTGGGATGGGATGGGGCTAGATTTACACTTTGCTGGTGGCAATTGCTTTATGTCATATTACACAACATCATGCTTTCAATATTGCCTAACCGTAACCTGCAAACTCAAGATAGGTAACTCCAAATGACCGGATCTATTTCATCAATTTTCGGGATCACCTGGTCTTGGAGCGACCATCCAAGTAGGGCAAAGGATGTCGGAAGTCAGGATCCAAATCATCCCGTGATCTCGTCGTGAGCATGGCGAGGCTGAAGACCTACAAGGGAAATATCACGGATTTTGTGCGCAGATGTCCAGAGGCGAAGTCAACAGCTCAGTGGTTCACCCGGGTCACGAGCAAGCTTCCTACAGTTGATGCAACCAAGTACAACATTGGCTTAGTTGCAGCCTATGAACTTCAAGCGAACATGTGAATAGAACTTGACCGCTTCAACGCACCTATCTAATTATATAATCGTTGGGTATGTCAATTGATTACATAGACTCCCATGCGCATGCCTCTTAGTCTATGTAGGGCCCAGGAGAATGTACTGGCTGTACTGGCTGCATCGTGAGGTGAGCACTTCTCAGCACAGAGTTCTCACGAATTTGAGGTCCTATCTCAGCCTCACCAGCGAAAAACAGCGCTTTGTTTTGCCAGAGCCAGGCATGCTGGAGGCGCACCATGGAGCACCCGTTGGCCCGTTGCAGATGTTTCATGGCGATGACATGGCATCACTGTGCCTTCTCATCAGGGCGTGAAGTCCAAGGGAAAGAAGCTCTTGAAGATGCAGAATGCCACTGGGCTATACTGGGCTGATTTCATGCAAATCAGAAGTGATGCATTTCAATCAAATGTTGGTGATGAAAGTTGCATAAATTTACGGGTTTTACATGGTTTTACGGTGTTCCTGTCGAGGTCACCTACACATATCCCGGCAACCAGGCGTCCTGTCCTTAAACTTCAAAACGATGAACAGATATGACAAGAGTCTACAAGAGTTTGCAGGAATGCAAGGGTGTGTGAAGACCTGGTGCCGATCCTGATTGTGCTGCGAGTGTTTTAACTTTTGCCAATCCCACTGTTTCTGCTACTAGCATGTTTAATTTTGTACAATCCCAAAAAGTGGAGAATAGTCTGTTGGTTGGAAGCTTTTCATGTGTAACCCTACAAATCTCTATAAGACCAATGATTCATTCAAAATCGACGCGCGCTTTGAGGCCTTTTTCAAAGCACATGCTGTCTCTATTGACACCACATCCCGTGTACCAAGGCCGACTCTCTACAATGTGAGTATCGAGGTGTCGCTTCTGAGCCACCTGCAAGTCAATTCATTTGGATGTGGGCGTTTAGATGACCCACCCAAGCAGCGAGTAGTGAGCAATCCTGGGCTTTGTCACCTTTTTATACCATTTTATGATATTTTATGTATTTTATACTTGGTCATTACCTTTTTCATCCTTTTTCCCTTCTATAATATTTTGGTACATTCAGGGGTCCTATCTCCATGGCCAGTGTTTTTTCGTGTATTTATTGATTTACTGGTGGAAGCTTTTGGGGTATTGATCACCTGGCTCGACAGTTTCTACTTGGATCTAGCTTTGGGAATGCTGAGGGTCGTTCCGCAATTACAGATGTTTTTGCGACAAAAGGTATGAATGGGATTGAATCAAAAGCTATGAATCGGTGTGAAGGATATGAAGAGCTCTTCATGTACTCAATGGCCATGCAGCATGCCATGCCAAGGCCGCGTGGCGGTGATAGGTCCCAACGGTGCTGGCAAGTCCACCATGATCAAGGCAGGCTGCACTTGCCATCTGTCAACATTTAAGTCGCTGGGAACCGCAGTGCTGTGGAAACATGTCATTTTTAGTAGTACACTATGCCAGTTTTTTGGGGGTACAGTACCAAATTTTGACCTTTGTAATATGCTTTCATACTCAGTTCGACCAGATTGTTTGCCTGCGTGATTGGGGTGGCATCTCAAAGCAATCACTGGCGACTCTAGTGACTCCAGTGGGACATTTTGCACCTTCGGTTAGGCCTTGGTCGGCGAGCTGCCTATCACTGGCAAATCGATTGTTTGGAAGCATCCAAATGTCAGGGCCTCATTATTTCCACCCGCTCCAGAAATTGGACAACGGCTGTTGAAGCTAGGATGATCAAGGATGAAGTGGGGGATCTGTCTTTTGGAATGCACCAGCAAGTGTTCGCCAAAGCCATGATCAGATGTGGGTTTGAATGACCTGCGGACAGATGATTGTTGCCTTCATGGTTACAGCCGATCAGCGCCCATCAGCGTGCATCAATGTGTGCTTCTGAGGTTCGCATTTCCTACGTTGCGCAACATGCATTTCATCATGTAGTGTCGAGCTCAGACTCACTGAAACTTTGCTAATGCCCTCCAGTGCTCTATTACCTAACAGGACCTGGACGATGTATTCCTTTGGATCCCTTTGGTTTGTTCCCAAGTCAAGTTGATTAGGTTGACAAGTCGGTTGACAATTCAGTTGACAATTTGGTTGATAATTCGGTTGACTACTTTACCAGGAGTTGATTCAAAAGTCCACTGAAACAGCTTTGCGGAGTCCAGGAACAGCACTTGGACAAGACGCCAACCCAGTCGCATTCTAAGAGCCGTTGCTGATTTGGGACCAAATGAAATCTCAAGGGATCCTGGGTGACCCCTTTGCAGAACTAAGTGGTCCCTTCGGTGGCCCTGCACCCCGTGACCAGCTCAGCCAAGGTACTTGTTGTGGCGCTTTGCTGGTGGGGAAGACTGCGAAGCGTTGAATCATCGGGCTGAGGAGCAGCAGCGCGAGGAATTCCGCAGAACTGCCAAGAATAAAGGCATCACAATGTGATCTCACCATCTAGTGATCCTTCACAATGTGAGCTTGCAGATGGGAAGATGCTGCAGATGTAGTAACATGGAATATGTAAGGAAATACAGCGGTCCATAAATTGATTCTGCAATGTTGTAGGCATAGTTTCTTCACCTTACAAAACCTGTTTCGATAAATTGTCTCAGCACTCAAGCTGTGCCAGGAAGTCAAAGTGGAAAAGAGAAAGTACTGGCCGCGGACCTCAGTGCAATCAGTGTAATCCAATTGGAAGTGGCCCATAGATCCGCTTTTGCGGATTTGCATCAGCAGATCATCAGCAATATCATCACTGGTGCATCCATTTAAATGTGAATAGCGTTGTCCAACCATAAGCTTTCTGACTTAAAACAGTATTACTGATAAACATGGGAATGAACTTGTGCAGAAGGCAGCTGTTGTCATTGTTGAGGCTCAATCAAGCTGGAGTTCTGTGCAAATGTACGAATGAGAAGGACTCCGGAACAACTGCAGGATGTGGAAATGTCCTTTGAGGTTTAGGCAATTCATTCCATGTCATTCCATGTCATGATTGTGTTGATTGCTCTGCAACCTGGGGCTAGATTAGCAGTAGATCAGCTGCATCTTTGGGTCTGGGCTGAACTTGCTTCAATGTGAGAGAGACCGCATTTTTACCAGGAGGAGGCTTGTGCAGTGACGGCCGAACAAATTCTGAGCCGAAAGAAGCTTCGACCTCAAATTAGAGAAATTAGAGTTTGAGCTTGTTATAATCCCCAGAGCGATGCATTGCAAGGATACCGGGATCCATATTTATTTGACCAGAGTGATTTTAGTCTTATAATATCCTGTAAGGATTCCAAGATCGTTAAATATCGTTAGGTTGATAAACATGAAAGCTGTGAAAGTCCGATTGTTTGTGAACACTGCTATGACCAGGCTGTTTTCGTACAGCCTCTGAGGTCCAAATCCAAAGCCGGCACCGGCGATGAAAAGTACGAGTACTCCGCGATAAACTTAGCGAACTACAACGGCAACTGTTTGGCCGTTTATGGAGCGGTGTGATTCTAACAGATTCGATCCTTGTGACACTAACATTAGCTGCCAACCGCTGTTAACCCCTACTACCAGGTCAGAGGTCATTTTTAGGACCGGAGATCTTTGCTCCAAGATTTCAGTCAGCAAGTCAGCACCATCCATATTTCTGCACTGGCAGATTGTAGAAGTATTAGAAATATTAGAAGTGATGATATGATGAGGGTGACATAGTCCCACTGAATATTCTTTGTCTCAAACCTCAGCAGGAAATGTATGCCATGTATATACCTGATTCCCATGCATTCCAGCACAGGTAAAGTGGCACAACTTCAGTTTGGAAAGCGCAATGTGGGCCCCTTCCTAAGTTGGGCCTACACAGGCGCATTCCGTACGTTGGGGGAGTGGTTACCCCTCCCACCTAATGGCAGAATGCCAGTAGCATGGCCTTTCGATTTCGAATTTGCTCTGAGATCGCTGAGGTGCCTCGAGAGATACTTGTCGAGATGGGCCATTTGCGAATGATACAGCGGGAGGACGTTGCACTCAGAGAGCAAGGGAACTGTTATAGTAGGGTTGAAACTTGAAACAGTTGTGGTGGATTATGATGATGTATATAGTAAATTTGTCAGTAAATTGTATCAATCTGCTAAATTCTCAATCTTATAGCCAGCAACACTAGAAATGACGAGAAGATAGCAGAAATTTGCTTGCAGATCCATGTCTTGCCAGAACCATTAGAAGACTGCAGCAACAGGATGAGAAGCAAGCTGCAGCCCATGGACTTGTGGCGCGACCTTTGACACAGCCGCAGGTCGCTGGGGCTGGGAGGCTTCCAGTCGAGTCTGTCGACTTGAATGAATTCCTATGCTGAAATGCTGTGAGTTTGGTGGGTCCCTCTGTTTGAAACGCGCCCTTGAAATTCCACAGATGGCAAGCTGCAAGTCAAGAGCATTTGGCCATCAAGGGAAAGTACGATGATGCAACGAAGCTAAGGATGCATTTGATTTGCGGCACCCAATGAATCCTATGTTACATGCAGGAATTTGCATTGCAAAACCTCGGCATCGCCCTTCATCCATCTTCATACTGGATTGTCCCAGAAGTTCCATCAACTTCTTCCATTTGATGTTTTTCACTGGAGCTGGTAAGCAAGCACTGTTTACATATTGGCATGGCCGCCATCCTTAGGCACTGCGTTTTGCCATTATAATATACATATATATACTTTTTTTCAGCCCAGTGGTGGATTCCTGGCAGGTGGAAGAGCACTTGGCGGGCTTTGGATTGGATTCCAACCTGGCATCTCACACCAGGCCTGGTCGCGGTGACTGAAGGTGGCTACATGGTCACGCCATGTCATGCCTTTGGGTCTCCATTGATCTGAAGGCAACATCAAGTCGCTGACCTTGCACCTGAAGCTTTTAAGATCAAACTGAATGCAACTCATGGTGATAGGGTACTGCTGAACTCCCGAACACCAAAACAGGCAGATTTCTTTATGTTTGCTCATGACAGGGCTGAATGGTTTGGTTCTGATCAACCCAAAGCTATATCTCAGCCTAAGCCATGGTGCTTCTTATGGTGGCCGGTGCAGCCTGTGCTGGGGCTTTGGTCGGTATCCCCTGGTACTTGGGCGCATTCCGAAGCATCAAATTCACCGAGACCAGGACGGAGCCGTCGATCTTTCTCTTCATCAAACACGTAGGGCCCTACAAAGATACGGGCAGCATCTTCGCAAAACTCATTCCCCTGCAACCGACATTGGGTCTGCACAACATGGCCATGATGCCAATGGATAGTCCACAACACGTGGAAGCTGCCAAGCTTCGATCGATGGTTGGATTATTACTCCCTGCCAGCCGAGCATCTGAAGTGGAGGGCATCCTCAAAAAGATTTCGGAAAGTGGACTAACAATGTCAGTGCGCGAGATCAAGGCCGCCAGAGCCAAGCACACCTTCTTCCCCTTGCGAAGTTCACTTAGCTTCATGCTGGGACCCATTAAGGTTTATTCGGCTGCATACACAGGCTTGGATGCGCTACCCTGCGGGTCAGTTGAGGTTTATCACACCCAGCAAATCGAGTTCATTTTTGCCATGGAGAATCCTGAAGACTATAGTTGGCCATCATGAACAGAGATAACAGAGATTCAGAAGTGTTGAGAGGCTTTGAACAAGACACAACGTCATTTGATGTCATTTGGATTTGCCTCGCAATTGTCGGGAGCTGGGGTTTTCATCGATGCCACATGGCGGTTTGGCAAAAAGACAGTTTTGCTGCCAGACAGATGCTGGGTAACACTGCCAGGCATGACTATCGCTTCGAGAGAAAAAGAACGGCTTGTCCCACCCAATCCCTAGTTCATGCTAGATATTGAACTATATACTCCCAAAAAACAGCCCTTGGCCAATTTTAGGGATGTTCCTGGTGGCCCCACATTTGAATCCGGTTGGAATGCTCTGTCAGGATTGGAATCCTGTCTGGTGGGCAGAAGGTCAAAGTGGTTCTTGGTGCGGCAATGTGGTTGGGACCCGCAGATTGGGCTGAAGCCGCCAAGTTCATTGACCTTGTATGTCTTGATTATGTGGATTAGTATTGGATTAGTTTTTATCGTAGAAGTCCGAACTACACCCGTCAGAACTACCCCCTCAGAGCATGAAAAAATATTAGCCTGCTATTAAGGTTTGCCTTTTCCCTGTTGCCTGTGACGACATCCTTTTCCATCAAATTGATACTTTTATGACTCGATAAACTTGTTGAAAGATTTTAATTTGACTGAAACCAGCTAAGTAGGACTTGTGTTTGTGTGCGTGCCTCAAAATTTCATGACCCCCAAAAACATTTTTCCTTTGTGCAGACCGATGCAGGCAGACTGCCCGTGCTGCCCCAAGGTTGTCTCCACACATTCTGATTCTAGACGAGCTGTGGCCACAGAACTGCTTCAGTGTGCTATCAATCAACTCTGAATGGACCCAGTCACCATCATGGCCATCATGGCCATCATGGTCCATCATGGTCCATCATGGTCCATCATGGTCCATCTTCCTGTCAGTGTAGCTGGAACATGCTTTCTTTGTCAAGTCTTGTCACCCCATCTTCCGTTGAATGCTTCATTTCAAAAACATGGTCATACCGAGTCATACCAAACAAATTGGTGAAGCATATCCTCAGCATTTCCTCAGCATGGACTACAGTGACTACATCAATCCTCAGGCCGACCAACTATTTGGATCGAGACTCTTTAGGAGCTCTGGCAGCAGGTGCGATGGCCCGATGGCCCAACGGCCCAATGGGCCAATGGCCCAATGGCCCATAGTCTAGGGCCATCAAGGGCCCATGCAGGGCCCATGGGAATGACACCAAACTGACATGTGCTGGTTCCACAATTCCAACAATTTTGGATGAGGGTCGGCACTTTTGGATGCCACCTTTAGTCAGTGTTTTCCAACGTTGAGGTTTACAATCACTGGTTTGGCAAGATCTCCAATTTTACGACATCCCACCACTCATGGTTTCCAGTTCCTATATACCTTAGAAATACATAGAAATACCGTATACCTAGAATCTGGAAATGTTGCTGATGGTTTGAGCCACTTCTCATGCGATCGCTTGCTGGAAGGCCTCAAAGAATTTGGAGGTGGAGTCTCCAACTTGGTTCGGGGTGCAGCATTTCAGGTGGTTTCCCAAAATTGGTCACATCCAAACTTGATGGCTTCATTTGGTTAGAAACTCAACAATGTTTTAGAGGGCGCTTAGGGGTTGTTTTAGGGTTTCCAAATCTTTGGAATGGCAACCCATGTGATATCACGGATGACCCAAGCGCATTCTGAAGCTTGGAAGGTGTTGGCCTAAGCACACTGTAGAGGTTGTCAAAGGTTTTATTCCCCGATGGATGGAAATTGGAGTTGAAATGGCGCAGAACAACATTCGAAACAAAACCAAGGATCTATAAAATTCTTTGATTTTTTGAGCCCCCTTGGTTGGACTGGTGCTGTATGTGGCCATTGCCAAGGTCATCGTCATTTCGCACAACCGAGAGCTTTCACCTCAGTGGAGTGATTGCAGTGAGTCCCGGCCAGACGAGTGGGACTGAGGTTTTGCCACGCAGTTTGCGATGAACGATGGGTCATGAATGTCACCAGCTCAGATCAGATGTGATGAAGTCTGTGTGCGTCGGTGATGAGTCATGAGTTATCTCCAACTCATCTAATCACTACATCCCCAAAATTGGGGTCCTGGGAACTGCGGAGTTTGGTCAATTTCAGAAGTAAACAATCCAAGTATTGGGCATCCAATTTTGATCCCTGGTTGCTTGGGATTCTGCAAACAGCAATGCCGGACCCAAGCTTCGTACCAAGAGGCAGGTCGCTTGAATCGAGAAGGTGAAGTCAGCAAAGCTGATGTGGCGTGGGGGCCCCTGGAGGTAAGAAAACCATCCAAAACCATCCAAAACCATCCAAAGCCCACAGAGGTTTGTCAGCGTCGGTGGAAGATTTTGGAAGATATTCTTTTAATTTCTTCTATATTGTTTTAAGTTTTAATTATGCTTTAAACATTTTTATAACTGGGGCGGAGGATCTGAGATTTGCCAGACAAAATTTTATCCGGACCTACTTGTACCAAGAAAGGCAGATGGTAGCTTGATGCAGCTTGGGTGTTTGGTTCCCGAGTGGCCAATGCCGAAGCCGCGAAAAAATACTCAGCTGTGGCTCTCAGGTTGGAGGGGAAGGCAATGGCAGACGAGTGCTCCTCTGAGAGGGGTCTTTGGTTTCCTAAAATGGGGGTACCCCAAATCATCCAAAATTATGTAAGCATCCTCGTTGGAATTTCCACTACAAAAGTAGTGGACTTGGGTCCTATGTAAAATAGGTTTTCCAGTGGTTTTTACAGTCCCCCTAGGGCCATGTGTCCTTGCATTTTGTAGTAACCCTATGTCATATACGTTTCTAGATTCAAGCATGGCTTGGTCATAGAAGTTTGTAGTGCTTAAGTATGCGAGATAATAGTCAACCGAAAATGGATTTCTGAGTTCACTCAGATTTGACCTAAAAGTACTTTGTAGTGAATTTGTGGGGTTCCAAGATCAATGTTCTGAAATCAGCTGGGCTTGACCCCTGAAGAACTTTGTAGTGTTTCTTGGGGGATCTTTTTGAGATGCCACTGATCTTGAAGACTTCAGTGGGATCTACTTAAAAGTCACTATAAACATCTACGTGATTTTTGAAGGGTCTCTTGAAGACCTCTTGTCAGATCCTTTGGATTTTGTAGTGAGCTTTTATCCAGGCTGGGGTTGCACTTTTGTAGTGATTTTTTTTTGGGGCTGGAAATGATAACGTAGTGATTGGGATTGGGCAGAGCAAGTTTACAGCTACAAAATCTGGACCCAACAGTCCCCCCCAAATATCAACCCCGATATGTAAGCTATTTTAGTATCAAATTTGAAACCCATGGTTTTGGGGTATCCCCAATTTTAGAAAACCTCCATTTGAAAAAAATACCTGCCTCGGCATCTCACTCTGTGGGACATTGTGGTATTGTGGTTGAGGTTGTACAGGCATCTGAGAGAGCTGACCCGATTGCCTGAGCCACTGGGTCGGTGGCACCAATAGATAGACTGCGCAGGTACACCGACGAATTTGGGAATGTCCACAAGATCAAGAAAAAGCAGAACCACACGGAGAAGGCGATGATCCGATGGCTTTGTGCAGCTTTGCGAGCACCAGAAGAATGATCATACCATAAATAAATAATATATATATATAATATAATAATAATAATAATCATAATCATAATCATAATAATAATAATACTACTACTACTAATAATAATAAAATAATAATAATAATAATATCACTGTCACAGAATATCAAGCAATTGATGAGACATTGTGTGCCCTTCGGTCCTTTGCACACAAAGATAAAGACATTTTGTTGACTAAACAAGGTCCCCTTTGGACTCATAGCTCTGCATCATGTTGGTCGGGCAAGCCAGGAACTGAAGAAGATCAAACGGCAAAAGGAACTTGCTCGCAAGCGTGGGGATGTGCCTAGGATCGAAACTACAGGAATCTGCGCAATGCCAAACACTTCGCAGCATGCATGTTCAAAATTGAATCTTGAAGAGCCCAAGACGGTGGAACCACTGTGATATGTGTCAAAGCTTCTTAAGATCAAAGTGAGTCCAAGATAATCTCAGGTGTTTATTGAGGATGAAGATGAGTGGCCTTGCTCTGAGCACAGGGAACCGCAACGGCAGCAAACTTTCATGACTGATCGAAGTCCCAACCCTTAGGAAAGATGGATGCAGGTTTTTGGGATCCAAAAATCTGCTGGTTTTGCAAAGTGGCCAGCTAGTGACCACTCAACCCCCTATCAAGATCATTGGCTCTGAGCTGGGGCCAAGATGGCCAAGCCCCTTCCAATTTATGGTAGAGAGATGTAGAGAGAGTTTTCTGTTGATAATCTGGTAATATAGCGGGGAGATGTCTGGAGTTTCTTGTCACCCAACATTCCAAGGTAGCGCAGAGAGTAACGGTGCACCAGCCATCCCCGGTCCAGGTGGGAGAAACTTCAAGAGGAAGTGGCCAAACCATTGCCTCAGCAAGGGAACCCGGTGGATCTTGAAACGCAGATGACTAGAGTGACTAGCAAGATTCGCAATGCAGGATCCTGGAAAGCACATGGACGGAACAGACAGAAGGATGAAAAACGGCACTTCTGGAGAGTCTGGAAAACCTCAGAATCTTTTGGCACCTGCAAGTAGTCTACCGTAGTGCTCTCAAGGTCTGCAGCTGCAGCTTCCAGCTAGGCCGGTAGCATGTCCCAAAAACCATCCATGTCCATAGATGACATGAGTTTGGTTGATCTTGATACAGCGTCGCATGCTGAAAGTGTGCACAGTCAAAATGCAGCAAGTCCTACAATTGGCTGAATGCACGCAGCAACTTTGGATCAAATCCGGTGCATCTTGTGCACAGCGACCTGACTCAGCGAATCTCAGTGACCAGACACCAGTCAGAATGGGTTGCGGAGCTAGCGCCAATTCAAAGTTGGTGAGTGCATCCCGCAGGGGTGTTGTGAAGGAGATGAAGGAAAGTTTGGAAGCCGGTGCCGATCCCAATGCCAAGGACGAGTGGGACAACACTGGTTTGATTTGTGCTGCAATGAAGGGCGAAACAGAGGCCTGTTCCCTTCTGATTGAGCACAAGGCAGATGTGGACTTTCTCAACAAAAAGAACCTCACTGCAGTGTACTTCGCCGCTGAGAAAGGCCATGTTGACACGCTGAAAGTCTTGCTGGAAGCCAAAGCACATGCTGACATCTACGATGAGCTGAGGCAGACGCCGCTGTTCTATGCAGCGTGGAATCAACTCGAGGTGTGCAAAATCCTGGTGGAGTACGGGGCCAAGGTCGACAATCAATCAACAAAGACACAGAACACTCCATTGCATGAGGCAGCAAGGGCTGGGAAGACAGACATTTGCAAATTTCTCATTGAAAAAGGTGACGATCCAACCCGGAAGGACGGCTCGGGTCGTAACCCTTACGAACGTTGTGGCGATGACTGGAAAGAATGCAAAGCATACCTCCAGTCTGTGACCCCAGCAACGGCTCCCGCAGATGCAAAGGCAGCAGCTGCAGCACCTGCTGATACGCAACCAGCAGAAACACCCGCTGAGACTCAGACTCCTGCTGAAGCGCCGGCGGCCGAGGCAGCTGCCGCCGAGGCGCCGGCGGCCGAGGCAGCTGCCGCCGAGGTGCCAGCAGCCGAGGCGGCTGCGGAGGTGCCGACAGAGGCAGCGGCCGAAGCAACCGAGGCAGCTGAGGCCCCTGCAGCTGAGCCTGCAGAGCCGGCAGCCGAGGCCGCGCCAGCAGCTGAAGCTGTGACTGTGGCTTTGCCAATGTGAGAGGCTCATAGATCTGGGTTGCCACCATGGTGGCGCATGGATCGCTAGATGTATCAAAGTCTCACGCTTTTTGTTGGTCCATCCGTAGAGACAGACCTTGTTGAATGGGCATTGGCCGAATGGCCCTGCCGAAGGAACTGCTCCATTCATTGTATGACAACACAACGATGCTCTTTGAAAAGATTTGCAAGAGCGGACGGTTGAGACTAGACTGACTAGACCCGCTCAAACAGAGCACATTCTTGATCATTCTTCACTAATCTGTCCTAAAAGGTTCGAGTTTCAGTTCAGAGTCATTCATTCGTAAATCTTGTCAATGTCTGTCAATGTCTGTCAACGTTCCTTGCCAGTCACCGGCCGAGCCGAATTCCCACTGCTCCATGTGCAGTTCGATCCCTGTTTCCAGGTGCAGCTGAGGTGCAGCTGATCCAGCCTGTGTGGTGTTAACTGTCAGCTTGTGCTCAGAGCGTTCCGAGTCAGAAATCAGTGCATTTCAGCGGACCAAGATGCAGTACAATAAATGTACGTACAATAAATTTAGAAAGATCTATTTGATATACTCTATTAATATTATATGAATATAAATATAGATATAGATATGGATATAAAATATAAATAAACATATAAATATACGTATATATATAATATATCTTATAGGATGTAGCTCTACCACGTTTTGGAGGTCTCTTTACAGCCTACTTCTCCCTCTGTGTCACCTTAACTTTTACCTCGGTCACCGTTTGGTGGGGGATCTGGGAGGGTTCTAAAATGAAGGCAACATGACCCCAAAATGAGCCAATTTGTGTCACCTTAAGTCCGGGAGTTAAGGTGACACATGGTGACACGAATCCCAAAGTCAAGGCGACACAAAGCCCAACATATTAGAGCAACATGCGAAATAATACATACTCTATTATCTAATGTTATAAGTTATAAGATACTATTTGATATTATTATTACTTATTATTAGTATTATATATATATATCATGATATATCGTATTTTATAGTCGTATATTATAAAGGGCTGTAATCATGTTTTATATACTTCATTTGAATTAATAATAACGTGATTGCGTGTGTGTTTGTATTGTATCATATCTATGTATTGAATGTATAATATGTGTAACATGGCTATCGATATATCGATCTATCTATCCATGAATTTAATATATTGATCTCATCTAGTAATTCCCATCTATTAAACCTATAATAGTATATAATCCTGCCTATTGATACCATCTCTCTACCAAATCTTGCTGTTCTGCAATTTGTTTGTGCTGGTTCTAAGTTCTACGGCGTAGATTCTTAGACTTGGAGGTGATACGCACCACATCACTCGAAGTGGAGCGATGCTCCATTCTTTTAACGCTCGAGAGCACGGTCGGTCCTGCGCTCCTGGGCCTTTTCGTGAGCTTAATTTCGCCTGGATGAGACAAGCAGAGTCATCAAATCGACATGGCACGTGGATCACGTGGATACTCTGTCACGAAATATCATTTAGGAGTGGAATCCATCGTCATGAATTGTTGGGCATGCTTCCATTCTAAAGACACCAATTTCGAGCTGATGTTCAAGCCCCGGCACATTTAAGTGCTGAAATGATTGAAATGCACTGCTTGCTGCTTGTCTCAGCACTATTTTTTGTGAATAGCAATAGCACATAGCACTGTTTCCGCAGAAATCGTCCCCGAGAAGGCAGCTGAAGGCAAGATAGGCAAGATTTAGGTTCAGCATGGGATTTAGGTTCAGCAGAATCGAGATGGTTGACATCGGCTACATGATCTACTCGTACATGTTTATTTTGTTTATTTCACTGTTGGATATTAGACTTCCATAGATTTCCATGTCCAGATTGTATCATGTTGTACCTCCTGCATCAGCCACAGAGCCCATGCTCGGGACTTGCACCGAAGCGTTGAAGCTCACCCGAAATCAAAAGCGTTGAAGCATCACGGCTGAACATCCAGGGAATCCAGGACATTGGCTCAGCCATGATCTCGAGCAGCTTAGATGCAGGAAAGAGCACACTCTCGTTGATCAAGATCATGTTTGCGACTGCAGTCATTCGGCTTTCAGAGAAATTTGAAACACAAGTCACAAATGATATCAGCTGGGCCCACCAACCCCTTGTCACCCTGAAACCTGCCGAGCATTCAACAATCCAAGCTCCCAACTCCCCTGCGGCAACATGCAGGGGGCATACCAAGCAGCCATCACCAAGTCATGTGACCCAACATACCGCGCGTTGTGCATTCAGTTTTGATCTCAATTTACACAAGACCTCAACCTCCTTGAGCATCAATCTGGGAGCATGTGAAACGGCTGTTCTTGAAATTATCCTCAGAACCACCACCTGTGACAAGTCTTCGATGACGTAGCTCGGGCCCATGGGAAGTATACGACCGAACCCGGGTAGTGCCGGCTGATCCATGTGGGGCAGTCTGAGCCTCAAATCGGATCGAGGGAGTTTCCTAATTATTTCCTTAAAGCTTGTTATTGGCCAGCAGTACCCGGGCATTGAAAAAACACAGACTCGTGAAATCTAGTGAATGTGTAAAAGTAAAAGGATACAAGAAAGCGGAAGTACTGTTGGTTGTGCAATTTGGATCCCAAATGGGTATGAATGTGTGAGGCGCCCAGTTCTTGCAACATTCAATAATATTCAATATGTCAAACTTGTTGAGGTTGTTGAGGTTGTTGATGTTGGCAGATAGACACCTCGATTTTTACATATTTTTACCCATGACACTCCCAAGATCGCAGCCGTCAGCCAGTTGTGAGCTACACAGTGGGAGAAAGACACAGCCTGACACAGCCTGACACAGCCTGACACAGCCTGACACAGCCTGACACAGCCTGACACAGCCTGACACAGCTGCCCGGCCAGGCGGTGTACATGCGACGCCTTTGGGTGCCACATCCAGACCAGGTTGGGGGAATCATGGCAATCTGTAACGATCTCCTGACATTTGGCCAAGGGATCCAAGGGCTGGCGCTGCTTGTATTTGAGATCATTGGATATCATTGGGTTATCACTGTTATCACCCCAAGTACTTGTCGCCATTGATAAACCCTGTCACAGCGATATACTCGACACATCTCGACACGGTATTGCATGGAACATCATAGAACTATTTGTGCAGCATGAGTCAATGACGCTTCCGTGGTTTGACTTCGTTGTCGTCTCCAATGTACGAATCAGGGAGGGTCATTCAGGATTGTTCAGTCATGATATAGTTTTTGCTTTATTTTGGAATTTCCATGAAATTTCTCTGTGCTGATGTGGCCGGCTGGCTCATAGGCAGCATACTGTGCTCTTTGAGCCGGGAAACACCATGCAAACAACAAATTCAAGGCTGCCATCCTGGTCATTCCAGGATTAACATGTCATGAACATTAATGGATCTCAATCTCAAATTTGTTCTGCCCGCAGTAGCTCTACATGGCTTGATTAGCACCTTGTGCCACTGCCAGCAGCAGTTCTGGCGCAGGTCAGCTCATGCGGATATTCGCGAAGACATTGACAGGCAAAACTATTACTTTGAATGTTGAGCCAACAACAAAGGTAGGCCCAGTTCCTTCCATCCCACTCTTCACTCTCTGTGGAGGTAAAGGGATCACAGTTGCAAAGATTCAAGGCGAAGCAGCTTCAGTGTTGGTCAAAGCTGCGGCCGAGGAAATGTCTCGGTTTTGGCAGAGCCCAGATGGTCTAGCGGTCAGGGAGTATTTAGAGAAGAAAGTGATTAAAACTGGCGAGATCAGCTGCTACCAAAAAGCTGACTCGGTCCACATCGACTCCAACGCATCCTTGGATGAGCTGCTGATTGAAGCCAGTCGCTTCTTCATTTTGAAAGCATTGAATGGCGACACTGCAGCGCCAAGGCTGGCTGCAGAACCTCCTACCAAGCGCGTCAGGACAAAAGCTGCAAGCTGTGGAGCCCTTCTATCGCCCAGTTGGTATGTTGATCAGGTATGGCATGCTAGCTTTGCATGCGCCTGGTGAATGAAATGATATGCCACGATCCAAGATCTGACGACCAGAACCAGAACGATATTCGCTGACGTTCAAGAAGTACTCAAAACTATTTGGAAAAGGGCCACCCAGTCGATTCTGGCCTATGCCAGCGCTCTGGGAAAGGGACCAAGAGCTGTGTAAGGATGGATCCGGCCTGAAGGGAATGATATGTGATGCAGATGGAGCACCTCCTGACCAGCAAGCACTCATCTTTGCAGGGCGGCACATGGAAGATGCCCGCTCCCTCCAGGATTACAATATTACAGATTTGAGCACAGTTCACTTGGTGTTGAAACTGCGCGGCTGCTAGAGCTGGAGATTGACCGCTTCTTTGAACAATGATTGACTTCTGCGCTGTGGAAAAGGCAAAGGTCCTTGAAGCAGTTTTTTAATACCGAGCAGACAGCCTGCAAGGGCGTCATTCCCATGACCGCGCTGCAACGATGTCGCCACTGGCAAACGCTGTCAAAATATGCGCATGTCAACACTTTGCTGCATCGTCTTGCACGCCAAGATGGCAGTCGTGCACTGCCCTGGTTGAAGTTGTTTCTTGTAAGAATATATTGGAGAGATAGACAGTCATGCGCAATCGTTGCGGTAAGTCGGCCCCATCCTTTTTTCCAACAAAAGGTACTAACACCTGTCTCATAGATCACATGGACAGCCAGGTTTGGGCTCCATGTTGGTTGCATGATAGCATCGATGGCATTGCCACGCAAGGGGCTCAGTCATTCTCCGGCTGATGGATCTCTTCAGGATAAGGAATTCGCAAATTTAAAGATCAAAGCGGGCTTCCAAGTTGGAGGATTTTCCATCTCTTCTTCTTTGTGTTGTTTGTACTACTATATTAGTTTTGTATAGTTTTGTATCGTCATTTTTCTGCTTGTAGCATAAAGATGAATAAAGCATATTGTCAAAATTGTTTGTTATCTTATGTCTCCTTCACTTTTACTGTTTATTCCCCTTTCTTGGGGGCTGACTGCCAGCTAAGTCCGTTGCCCTGGGTCCCCCTGGTGATGTTTGCCGTACCAATCGCCGCACTAGGTTTGGGACAGAAGAAGGAGAGGCCAGCTACAAGCGCAGTCCATCCTACACTTGGCTGATGTCTATCTGCGATACTCCAGAAATTCGGGGATGGATTACCTACAAACAGGATGTTCTTGTAGAGACCCTCTGATGGGTTTCGGTGCACGCAGTTTTTCTGCTCCTTCCAAATCTGAACAGATGAGATGTGTGAAGGCCTCAGTGCTTCCCAATTGCATTTCACTCAAGACACTTGGCAGGCCCTGGAGATCCCGGCCGTCGGCGTCAATGATTTGGAAGAAGTTCACCAGCAGCAGGCGGTGGCTGCCGACTGCAGACTTTAAGAACTAGTGGAAGTTGTGGGAGATCAAAACAGTTTATCTCAGATAGCCTGGCCTAATCATGGCCTATTGAGGATCCAGTGAACCTCAAACCATTGTGTGCAGGTGGTGGGTGAGGAGGACGTTTGCCTGCTCGACACAGTGACCAAAGCTGCATTGCTGCATACGATTCGAGTTGCTGCCTTAGGTGCGAAGTAGACTAGAACCACATCCAGCTGACTCAAGCGCAACAGCAGAAGGGTTGTACCCCCGTTGTACCATGTTTCGCATGTTTTGTACCCATCCACACAGTCAATCACAGTCAGCTTTCTTTGACCCTGCAGAAATTGCGTTGGTCGCATGTTTTCTGACTCTCCGCGACTCGCTGCGACTCACTGAGGTGCGTTTTTCCAAGCAGTTGGTCTACACCTGGGTGTCTCGCATTCTTTTGGCAGTAAACCCCTTCCAGGTGCGGAAATCCATCAGCGCTTCCAATTGTGCCAATTGTTAAGATGTCAGGTGCTGCCCTTGTACTCCTCCCAAGTGTTGGACCAATACAGGCAGGACTAAGCAGACATGGTGAGATACAGTTGGGTGGTGATCTAAGGGGTCTGGGTTTCTAGCTAGATCTATATAGCGTGTATGTACTACCCCGAAGGCATCCCAGTTTGAACGTGTTTTGTACCCAGTTTATTCGCGACGACCTCCAAAAAATGCCGTTTCGTGGCTTTTGTATGCTTCGGATTGCTTTGGTCTTTTAGTCGCTCTGTCCCCTCTGTGTTGACTCCAGAGATGGCCCGTTGGAACATGTTGGAACAGTATTTTTGGCCGAGCCTCGTCCATTGAATATCGACCCAGCTGGGCCGCTCCAAGCCAGGTTTGCATCTGAAGTTCGGGTCCATGCCTCAGTGGGCGTTTCATAGAGGATTTATGCTCATCAATAACTCATCAATAACTCATCAATAATCAACAGCAGAGTGAGCAGAGTGACGTCCTAAGATCTCCCAATCCAAGTTCTGAGTGAGGCTCTTCCGCCACACATTTTTTCGATTGCAGCAGATGCCATGCCAGCGACCCGAGCATTGTGGCAGTTGGGTCAAAGTTGAGTCCATTACAAAGATTTCATGAAATTTCCATATTTGCTATTTGTATCTAACTTCTATAATATGGAAAAGGAAGCTCATTTCACACACGTCACGTCATGGCAATTGTTTAATATAACTTATAACTACAACTTGTATACTCTAATCTTGTGACAAAGTACGAACATTTGGCATCAGGTACCCATGGCACAGAAACCCACACACCACTGACATGCACCTCTGGTACCATGGTACTCATGTTTGGCTTCAAGGTCCAATCTTCGAACCTCGCGGCGACACCAGGCTTGTTGGTGATGGGTCCGAGATGTCGCAGTAGAGGACCCCCAGATCCATTGTTTCATGGTTTGTTTGCTTGGGAATCACACTGAGTTGGGAGCCTTCTATTTGGGGCCTGCATTTTTTTTTTGAATTTGGGGACTATATAGTCCTAGGGCCACTTTCAAGAACGGGCAAGTAAGAATGAACATTAACAATCACTGATACCCCAAATTGTGAAAATCGGTTGCCCGTCATTTGTCATTGTCCTAGCTGAAACCGGCTGAAACACTCATCCGACTGGGTGCTGGTCCTGGTTATTTTAAGGGCTTGTTTCAGGTAGGGAAAAAAGGGAATAGTTGAGGACGACAATCCAGGTCGGAGGTCGTGAAATGCATGATGATATGTTCAATCATGTTTGAGTACATTCATACGATACACCCATGAAAAATACACAATATGAAACTAATTTATACCAATTTTGTATAATATAGTATAATATAATCTATTATATCAAATTATATTATATTATCTTATATTATATAAGATTATATAATATAATATAATATAATATATATAATATATATAATATAATACAATATAATATAATATAATATTATATGATGTAGTATAATGTAATATAATATAATATAGTATAATATAATATAGTATAATATAATATAATATAGTAATATAATATAGTAATATAATATAGTAATATAATAATATAATATAATATAATATAATATAATATGTGTATACATATATATATATATATAATGTAATATAATATAATGTAATATAATACAATATAATACAATATAATATAATAAAATATAATAATAATGTAATAATATAATAATAATAATAATAATATAATATAATATAATATAATATAATATAATACAATACAATATAATATAATATAATATAATATAATATATACTTATAATATATATATATGTACATATATTACAATAAATTTCAATGATTAATATTCATATATGGATACACATCCTAATACAACTGACCAATCCTCCCCTGGCCACTGGTTACCAACTCGTGGGCTAGGCCATCGTCATCAATGGAGAGCCAGGGACTGAGCTGGCGGCATCAGCAGAGGTCAGCCAGGTGCTGTTTGAAAACATTTGAACACATGATGCAAATATATGTACAAAAACATCCCGCCGGGGGGGAAACCGCGCCAGCGTTTTGAGGGTTTTTTAAAAAAATGTCGTTTTTGCCATAGCGAAACTACTGATTCATGCCCCAAAATTGGCTCAAATTTCCCCGGGATTTTGAAGTGTGTTTTAAACGATAACCTGTAAATTACAGGGAATTTGTTCCTGAAAACTCGCCGGGTCTTTTTTTCCAACTCACATTGCTACACGGTCTTTCAAGGCTCGACCTGTGACCTCCATAAGACTTTTCGTCTTGGAGTTCATCCAACACCAACCCAGTGACGTAACATAAGATGTGCATGTGACGCAAGTTAACATGAACGTTAACATGCCCCACCCCCCCAACCCAGTGACGTAACGTAAGATGTGCATGTGACGCAAGTTAACATGAATGTTAACATCCCCCACCCCTCCAACCCAGTGACGTAACGTAAGATGCGCATGTGACGCAAGTTAACATGAACGTTAACATGCCCCACCCCCCAACCCAGTGACGTAAAGTAAGATGTGCACTGTGACGCAAGTTCACATGAACGTGAACATGCCCCACCCCCAACCCAGTGACGTAACGTAAATTTGCATGCGACGCAAAGTTAATCATGAACGTTAACATCCCCCACCCTCCCCAACCCCGTGACGTACCTAAGATGTGGCCATGTGACGCAAGTTAACCGGAAAAACTTAAACATGCCCCATTGCCCCACCCCCCCAACCCTGACTTAACGTAAGATGTGCATGTGACGCAAGTTAACATGAACGTGAACATCCCCCACCACCCCCCAACCCAGTGACGTAACGTAAAGATGTGCATGTGAGCAAGTTCACATGCACCGTTAACATCCCCCACCCCCAACCCATGACGTAACGTAAGATGTGGCATGCGACGCAAGTTAACAGGACGTTACATCCCACCCTCCCAACCCAGTGACGTAACGTAAGATGTGCATGTGACGCAAGTTAACATGAACGTTAACATGCCCCACCCCCCCAACCCAGTGACGTAACGTAAGATGTGCATGTGACGCAAGTTAACATGAACGTTAACATGCCCCACCCCCAACCCAGTGACGTAACGTAAGATGTGCATGTGACGCAAGTTAACATGAACGTTAACATGCCCCACTCCCCCCAACCCAGTGACGTAACGTAAGATGTGCATGCGACCGCAAGTTAACAATTAACTTTTACATCCCCCACCCCTCCCAACCCAGTGACGTAACATAAGATGTGCATGTGACGCAAGTTAACATGAACGTTAACATCCCCCACCCCGCCAACCCAGTGACGTAACGTAAGATGTGCATGTGACGCAAGTTAACATGAACGTTAACATCCCCCACCCCGCCAACCCAGTGACGTAACGTAAGATGTGCATGTGACGCAAGATAACATGAATGTTAACATGCCCCACCCCCCCAACCCAGTGACGTAACGTAAGATGTGCATGTGACGCAAGTTAACATGAATGTTAACATGCCCCACCCCCCCAACCCAGTGACGTAACGTAAGATGTGCATGTGACGCAAGTTAACATGAACGTTAACATCCCCCACCCCCCCCAACCCAGTGACGTAACGTAAGACCCGCAA